TTAAAGACTCCTAACTTGAGCAGGTAGCCAGACATGCAGGTGATACAAATCCAGAAGGGATTACTGGTACTTTGGGAAACAAGATTATTGAGAAGCCCATGGGTGCAGATACAAATGAAAAAAATCTCTACAAACTGTTGGTATCATTCAGGAGATGCATGGAAAGCAGTTCACACAGGAAGAAATAATCAGATGCACAAGAGGAAGAATACCTGAGAAGCCAAGCAATGCATCAGAGGCTGGAGGATATAACTAACAATAAAAGTCACCAACCTGATGCTGCTTTTAGGAGGGACAGAGGCCAGCCACAGCAGCTAGTATTAGTAAGTGTGTCACATGTATCACTCAGGCAGTAACTCCACTGGTTTTACCATGTATTAAACTACAGAGTCCAGCATCTGGTTTAGGAAAGAACTAACAGGGTGCGGGGGGAAGCAACCACAAGTGCTTTAAGAAGCACAACATAAACGATGAGAGGTTTGATAAGGCAAGAAGAGAGCCGGCAATGTGTATTCCAGGACAACAGGCAAAATGAGGATGTCATGATATTTTATGGGTGGATAAAGGGATATTGTGGAGAGATTGGATAGAAAATCAGTCGTCATGGGGAGATGACTTCATTGGGTTTCAAGTGTGATATGGAAATATTTGTGCTAAATATTATGAAAAATATTAGTTGTGATCATTTCCAGGCGTGGAGCAAGCTGTCCTGGTGCATCCTTCCTAGAGCTAGTAAAAAACAGACAATGTATCTATCACACAGCTATGCTCTAGGATGCAAATAAAAAAAAAACAAGTGACTTAATATCCATCTAGTTCAACCTAGATGAGTCCACAGTTCTCTAAACTGAGCTGATACTGCAAGAAAGTCTAGTTCCCTGGTTTTATGCAGGAGTACCAAAGTTGATGGGCTGTGAGATGCCAGGGCTTGCGGTTGATGATGTATTTGTGTCCAATCACTAGATTTCAAGTTGAAAGAAAGCAGCTGACAGAGCAGAAGACTCTAGGTGCTGTAATTCACCGCAGCATTTAAACTGAGTGGCAGGAGCTCAGCTTGACGATGCAGCAGAGGTGATAGGAATGAAGCTCTAGAAGCTGGAGTACAGAGGGGAGAGGCCTGGTCAGAAGAATAGGGTGTGCAAGTCTGGTTACTATGCGTAACAAGATATACTAAGCATTGCCATTTGTATTAATATAGCCTAGTAACAAGGACGCACTGGCAAAGCTGAAGCACCTGTGAGCATTCACTGTACTCTGGGCATCTAAGCTCAGCATTTCTGCAAAGATTTCTTAGAATTAAGAATTCTGGAATTGTTCTTGTTGCAAAGTTTTTCCAAGAAAATCCTTCTGTTCTGCTCTGAGCCAGCAAAAAGAAACAAAATCCAGCTTCCCAGCATGCAGGTGAGGGGACTGGCCACAAACCCCTTCCCACAAAGCAAGGAGAAAGGAGTCCACTCATCCAGGCAGAGAGAAAAGGGAAGCATTCATAATGCTCTCTGGAAGCTTTTGGAGAAAGCATCACCTCCCTGTCCACAGAACAACTGGAGATTGTTCAAAGTGACTCTCCCTTGTCTCATGAATAGAGTGCATTGTAAAAAGATGTTATTGAAAGGGTAGGGTGAATTTAGTGCAGAAACAGAAATTGAAGGGACCAGGGAGAGACAGAAAAACAAGAATAAAATGCCCACTCAGCACATGGGGACAAGCAGGAGGGTTCATTGAAAGAGCAGAGAACTCTCCCAAGAAGAGGCATTCCCAGCAACAACAGCTTCCAGCTCCCATTTGCCTTTTTCTCACTCCCCAGTGAATGCCTCAGGCCAGAAGTCAGCAAGGTTAGAGGCATGTGAACCTCACCCTCATCTCTCATATGGCAGCAAGTCTCCTCACCCCCAGAGATGGGGTATGCAGCCAGTCACTGACCAAGCTCTTCAGAGGCATGTAGGAAAGGCAGCTCTTGACTCAGCGCTTTAAATCTCAGGACTCCTTCCTCCAAGTCGATGCAGCACTAAGAAGGGGAGAGCCAGTTACTCACTGCACATTTCAGATAGCAAGTACCTCAGTCATTATGTCTGTGACTAGGGAGAAGCTGGAGAACCATCAAACATACTCACTTTGGATTTGGAGAGGCCTCATAGCTCCCTCTCCCTGCCATGGCTCTACCTCCTGGCTCCAATTCCCTCTGTTGGACTCCTCTCCAAACCCCCCACAGTGCCACCCTCCTCCCTTCCTCCAGTTTTACTCCTTCTAGGGTCATGTCCTCGCATCACTCAGCCTTTCGGCCCAATGCTTTTCCTGTTTTATGAATCCCACTATGTAACTACATATTTGGCAGGCAGAAGCAAGTTTGCTGAGGCCATGTTCTGAGCTGCCAAGGAGACAGGCTGATCACAGCACTAAACCTGAGCTGAGCTGACGAAAGGAGAGGACTCTCTCCACCTGTGTCCAGTCATTGTTGGACATTGGATGTAGCCATACAGCTTCATTTGACTCAAAGCAAGGACAGAGCTTGTTCATGTCTGCCTGCAAAAGGCAACATAGAAATAACTCTAGTGGCACGTTGTGCCCTCCTCTTTACAGTCTCTTCCTCCTCAGTCTCATCTTCTCATTTCCAACCATTGTGGTGAGAAATAACAAGAATGGGAGATGCTGTAGTGTCCTGTGGGGTAATTCCTTTATTAGTCCCTTCTAAGAGGGTTGGGAAAGGGATCAGTGACTCTGAGCATACTGCAGTCAGCTAGGGAGCTGAGCAGCAAGCAGTACAAGTGGCACTCCAGAAGCCTTGGACATTTCTGATGCTTCCAGCAACCAAACCTTGGAGGACTCATTGAGAGGAGCTCTGCAATAAGCAAGAAGCTTACTCCTTACCTTGAGAGACAACAGGGTCTGGAGACCAATGCAGAACTCCAGCATTTCATCATCTGGGAAAAGAGAAGAGACTGGTCAGGCTGAAGACTATACATACCTTGACTGCCCCTCTAAAGAAAGTGTCTCCCTCCTATAAGATTATGTGAAATGTGAGAGTATCTGATTAATTAAGTTATCTGATTAAAGATTATTCAGTATAAAGTAAATAACAAATAACAACGAAAGTTGTTATTATGAGTTGTTTAGGGGAAGGGCCAAAGGCAGGGAAAGGGATGGATCAGGGTGGATCAGGGAGGAACAAACATGGGAAAGTGCAGAAAGGGGGGCTAAAGGAGCCAGTCACATGTAAGCAGACTGCTGGTGAGTTTACTTGTCAGACTGAGTCCTGTGTCCAATGACTGCCGTCTATCCTGTCTTCCTTTTAAATCCTTTTCTTAACTATTTTTTCTGAGTAATCTCGTTCTCTATCCTGTGAGAGCGTGCAAGGCCTAAGTGCCAGCTACTGGAGATGATGCTGCGGGTAACAGGGCCAATAGGTCTATGTGCCAGCAACTGCAGGGATTGGCATGCAAGAGAGGTTTTTGTGCCAGTATCTGGAGAGACTGCAGGCCATATAACTCGTAGGTCTAAGTGTCAGCAGCTGTAGAAGGGACTGTGGGTCACAGGGCAGTAGGTCAAGGTGCCAGCAGCTGGAGAGACCAGTATGCAGGAGAGGTCTGGATACCAGCAACTGGAAAAGGGCCCACGGGTCACAGGGCCCGTAAACTTATGAGTCAGCAACTGGAGAGACCAGGGTTATGTGTGAGAGGTGTAAATGCCAGCAACTGGAAAGACTTGGGTGTTTTTACATTTCCCCAGTGAATTTAATACTGTGTGTGTGCATATGCGTAATTTGCTAGCAAACTTCAAGCTGAACTAGCTGGCGAGTAGAAGGACATCTGGAAAGACTCAGTCTGAGCCAGCAGCTGGGTAAAGGGCCTAGTGTCCAGACACAAATGTTAGACAGACCTAGAGGTCAGGCTGAGTTTCGCGGGATCTGTGAATGTGAGTGTGCTTATGAATCTAGAGTGAGCATATGTGCGTTTTCACTAGTGAACTTCAATCCTGATCAGCTGGAGAGGAGGAACAGGACTGCGCTATCTGTATTGAAGTTTATCTGAGTGCAGTTCATGTTTATGAGAGTCCTGGTGACGGCGTTGCTCTGTCTGTGGTAGTCTGTGTGGCTGGCCTTGTCAGTGTCATCCATGTATGTACCCCTCAGAAATATATGCTGAACCTTGCTACTGGCCAAACCTGCAAATTTGAACAGCAGCAGCCACATTCATTGAACTGAGATGGAGAGACCTCCTGGGTCTTAGATTGCACTCAGCTGGACATCAGTGGCCAGGAAGGAGGAATCCCCAGGTCCTGGAGCCTGCAGGATTCTGCAGGCACCTGTAGCATCCTTAACAGTTCCTGCATGCCTGCTGGCCTTGTAAGTGTTGGCTATATTTTACTCCACATAAGCAAGAATGCTGTGTGCCAATTCTGAGACACATTGAGCACAGATAGGGCAATTCTGCTCCTTCTAGGCAGCCCTTTCTATATCTATATCAGTGGATAGGTGCTACCAGGCTAAATTCACCTGTGCCAGCACTAAAGCAGTCTTCCCATGAAGGACAAGAGCAAGTAGAGGGGGAATCAGGGAAGGAGAGTGAGCTGGGGTGTGGACAAGGAGGAACCTTTTTCTAGACCAGGAAAGCAGGAGGAATGGACATGAAAGAGACAGGGGGCAAGGAAGGCCCTGGAGGTAAAAGAGTGAACAGTAGTCATCAAAGATGAGAAAGATAAAGGCAATGGGAAGAAAGGACAGAAAAAAAGGGCCAGTAAGTTGTGTTCAACATGCATAGAGTTTAATGTAAATGCAGGATGTGCAGTCTTTCTGCTGTGCACTGGGTGTGCTCCTGTGCCTAGTTACTGGGCTTTGTCTTCTACAGCTCCTTCCTCCAAAGTGTCCCACCTCAGGACATCTTGGGGGATTCAGCAGTCCAGGGCTACCATGTTCTTCTAGGGCACTCCCTGCAGCAGAGGTAGATGGGTACACAGAGAAACACTCCAGGGAATAAGCTGTACCCTCTGTCAGTTTCTCTGGAGGCATCCAGCCAGCCAAGGGCACAGGAGAACACAGCGCATCCAGAGGACTAATCAAGCAGTCTGGATAGTTTTAAGAGAGGTCTATTTTAAAAGGAAAAGAGAATTTTCCACATCCTGGGTTACAACAAAAAAGCACCTCATTTCTATCCCCTTTCAGCATCAGGCGCTCTTCTCTGTACTCTTCCTATGCTCTTTGTCTGTGATTACATTGAAGGTATTCACAGTGCATGATGAGCTATGTCAACAGTGCAGGTGACCACATCACCAACTTCCCACCACCTTACCCTTTTCTCACAGATCCATTTAAATGCCCTTGGCAGGGAGAGAGGGACATAGGAAAGCTGGGGAAAGGAGGGGCTGGTGCTCTCACCTACAACCAATGCTGAACACAGAACTGTCTCCTGGCCAAATTGCACCTCCACGTGTTCTACTCGGCCAACAACGCTGGGGATGGGAAGAGAGAGATCTCCACAGTCCATGACAGACACCTCTTCTAGCCTGTGAGACACAAGAGGTGTTACTGCCTCAACTGGAGAAAGAGGATGAAGAACAGGACTCACTGATTGCCAGCACTTTGTCATCTCATTGGCAACAGGCCCAGAATCGGAGGAACCACAGTCAGAAAAGTGATGTCTGGAGGCAGATTCCACAAGGCAAACCATAATGCACTACCCAGCTGAGTTGCTCATATCACCTGGTGACCATCAGCTGGACCTCTTTGCCATGCAGTACACAAAGCCAGAATGACACAGCTCTGCCTTCAAGTCTGCAATCTACACATAACTTTTCCAGTGCTCCTGATGCCTGCCCTGTAGTCCACCCTCGCATCTTGTCCTAAGCAGCCATGTGCACAGGCAAAGCTTATAACTATTATCATTGAGATTGGGAATCAAGAGTGGCATTTCAGTGCCTAGGTCTTTGCCATAGGTTTTTTTAGCTATCTGTCCTTTTCTACTGTGCAAAGACTTACCCCAGCTGTTTTAAACAGCTCTTGGAGATGAGATTTGGTTGACATCCAGTGTTAACAGTTGCTTTCAATAGCTGACCTTGGCACTAGAAAAAACATAACAACAGATTATTATGGTCTCAGAACTGACATACCCACTCCTCCAGTATTGTGACAAGCCTTTATATCTTGTATAGCAACGTAGCCAAAGGCTTGGTGTTTAGGCAGTAGGCAGGAGACTCATCCAAGTCAATGAGGCTCCCTTATGCTCTGCAAACTTCTGCCAGGGCTTCCTTTGGAATTTCTTGTCTTTAATTTGTATTTGATTGCCTAGACACTTGTCTATTATTAGCAAGTTTAACTTAGCAGGATTCCAGTCAAAAGATGCATAACTAGTGAGTTTTTTTCAGGAAACCCACATGGATTTTATTAGCAGAGCAATAATTGATAAGAAGAAAGGTTCTAAAGAAATACACGCATATGTTTCAGCCTTTGCAGGTTTCCTCTCTCCATTTCTTCTAGTGTCACAGGGCAAAATGTTCCAGGGCTAGATGTCCGCTCCGAGTACTTTCGGCCTCCAGCTTCCAGAAGGAGGAATCTGTGGGAAAAGCAGGAGCATCCTGGACAAGCATCCTTGAGAAGAGCTTGAATTTAAGGCAGATACTCAGGTAACTGGCACATCCAAATGACTCCTGAATCAGAGTGGCTACCTAGTCAAGCAGCGTCTACTTTTGTGTGGGGCTTACAGTAAATTCCTAGGCAGCTCTTTAAGGAAGAATGACATGAACACTACAGTTACAATATTCACAACTGGCGTCATATAGAGAAGACAGAGAAAGATTGAACTCTGCACACCACACCAAAGCCACCACTGCATGATCTTACTGGAACCATCTCCAATGCCTTGCCCACTTCATCTCTTCACTGCTCTTCACTTGAAAAGGAACAATAGATGTGGTTACCACCTGTTTTCTGTCCCTTCTGCACAGAGGACCTTAATGGCAAGCCAGAGGTGCTGAAGTAACCGCAGCTCTCGTATATGGCAGAGGCCTAGAAAACTAGGATTGGCAAGAAATCTGTGCAGAAAAAAGGGAGGAACAGGAACTTAGAAAAGAAAATGGAAAACATGGAGTAACTCCTAGCTAAACAGTCTATCTTGCACCCACCCATAGTGCCTAACCATACCCATTTTTGACCGCCTACTTCTTCAAGAATCTGTCTTACACAAACACTAAAAGAACTGAACCGTGATGTTTCCCTCTTGGGAGGTTTATTTTCCTCCTGCTGTCATTAATATTTTGCCTGTGATTCCTTCTCTTTCTTCCACTGTGGAAGCCAGTGCCATGGGCTAGTCACAAACAGCAGCACGCTCCCACAGCTCCTCTACTGTTATCCTCACTACTGTCAAGAGCTTAAATACTTGAAACAGTGTAAGCAGATCCGTATGGCCATCAGAGACTCACAGCATAGCATCAGTGGGGTCAAGGAAAATAATGTCTCTATTTCCTGACTTCTTAGCTAAATCTGTTTATGATTTCTACATGGATTAATTGAGGAGAGCAAAATCCAATATTTCCAAGATTTCATTTTCAAAAATGTGCTATTTGTTAGTTGTTAGAAGAAAGCAGCTCCTGTGAAAAATATTGGAATACTGCAGAGATGACACCGTTTAGTAGCTTGAGTGCCAATTGCACTCAAGGCAACCTCAGACAGTATGTGCTGGAAACGTCAAGTCTGTTTTGCCTGGGAGCTTTTTCTCTGATCTAAACTCCCAGGCACATCTGAAGTATATCAGCATAGAGAATGTCATGGTTCTGAACATTTAAATACACCACCTTCTTAGAAAAGCCACTTAGTTGAGAAATTTGTTACTCTGGTAATTGCAAGATCACTGGAGCTAGATAGCTCAGCATATTCTCTTTTACGGAGTTCACCACAAATCATGTAAGACTTATATATGCATCACATATATATGATGTATATTCAAAGAATGTTAGTGGATGAGCATTTACCATATGTGGCCTCATCCAGGAACAAGGAGAATTTCAATTCAGCTGAATCTACACAGATGCATATTTTCAACAGTTCCTAATGTATTTGTTACAGTTTTGCTTTTTTAAAATTGAAAAAAAAGTTTGTCTTACTCCTAAAGAATTATTACACTTTGGAACAAATGCCATGAATATTTCAAGGCAGTAAGAATAAGTCACCGCAGTATCTCAATGGAGAGAGAAGACTGGGATGAAAGCATACTACTTCTCTCCTACTTATAGCACGCAAAAACAATTATCATCTCACATAGTATTTTTGCAATGTTTTTCTTTTTCAGCTTGATTTACTAGTCTAAGTTAGTTAATAATCCCATGTGTCTGTAAACATTTATGACTCCTTACAACACTCAACAAGGCAGGTCCCTTAGACAATACAGCATGGTCAAAGTCAAGGCAGAACTCACAAACTTCTGCCTTCCAGCACTGTGCCTTCCCCATTACCCTATGCCTGTCTCATGGTCTCAGCCACACTGGCATCTATGTTCTCAGCCACTATTGGCACCTGCAAGGCTGCTCTTTAGCACATGATATGGAAATTGCCAGAGAACTATGAAGTCGCATATTGGGAGCACACAAAACTCCACTAGCTTGATCCCAGCTGGAAGATTCATGAAGCAGAATTAAAGACTTGAGAAACTAGCCCCTAGAAGCTCTCCCTGAAGTTCTTTACACATTCCACATAGGAATATCCCTCCTAGCTCTTTCACAAATGAGCAGTTGCAGCTTACATTGCTGAGCAGCTTGAACTGTTCTCCTATGGTAATGCATGTCACAATGACAGCTGGGAGACCCAGATGAGCTGCTGCCTATTTCCAAAACACACCCATTTTCTCACCCTCCATTCATGCCTACCCTCTGCCCCTTGGCAAAAAGCTACTGCAGATATGTAGGAGAAGATGCTAGAGCCTCACAAAAGGGGAAGAGATGCAAAGTGCTACATTTAGAACCTTCTGACTTTGCCAATACTTCTGCTTGCTCAGGAGAAACCACTGCAGCAGGACTCCAGGCTGTCTGGCATATGGACTTTAAACAACCAGGACTAGTGGCAGTGCCTGCCCATAGAGGCCTCTGCTGTCTACTCCTTTCCTTTCCCCAAGGCCCATTGGAGAGAACCCACTTTGCCTCATGGCGGCAGCTGTTCATAGCAAAAACTGGTGTTATAAACTTCAGGCTTCTAGATAGAGAACAGCCTGGAAATGGACTGGACCCAGAGGACAAATGTCTTCCCTTCTCTCCACTTTTAGAGCTCTGTAATGTCTATGCTTTCCATGCAGAAAAGGCATTGTATCAGCTCTTCAAAAGCAGAATAGCTGGAGTATGGACAGAAATTCCTAGGGAATCACTTTGGGAGCAGACAGAATTAAGAGGCATAAGCTGTTAGCATTGTTGTGATAATAAACCTAAACTATATTACTGGACAAACTCTTGAGTTTTGTTCCAGAGCAAGTTGGAAAAGTTGCAAGTTAGAAACTTGCTAGGATCTAACAGGACAGTGATTATTCTCTATAGAAGCACATTTCAGACTCTGTAATGGTGGTAAGCAGTCGAGAGCAGTTTTCAGCTCCAGCAGCCTCACAAAAGCTATCCACCTTCCTATTACACTGCTAACCATTTGCCCAGAAGACTCACCAGGAGCCAGAGAAAAATTCTTGGTCCAGCATACCACAAAGATAACCCAGATTAGGTGAAGAGTACATGATGAACTAATGAGCACCTCAAGCCTTCTTGGACTTAGAGGACTATTCATCATATTACCGAGTCTCATCTCTGCCCCAGAACTTTCAGTCTACTACCATCAGTTACCATTAGTCTTTATTTAAATGTGCATTATTCAAATTTTGAAGAAAATGAAAGACAGGATGGGAATCAGTAAGGATCATCATTTATGAACAACCTTGTTTTCTGAAATAATATCGGTTCCAAAGTCAAGAAGCTGCTTTAATCAACCAGGCTGTTTCCCAGGTGGCTTTGGCACAGAGGAAAAGCAGCCTTAGATATCACAGTAATTTTTCAGCATCTATTTCCAATTGAACACAAGGCAAGCCACGTTACAAAAATAACAGTTTGTTTTTACTGTGCAGATGTCAGTCACATGGCAGGCTTTCCAAGTGCCTCATGAAAACTGCCACAAAGAAGGGGCACTTTGCTAAAACATTGTGTGAGCAACCCGCCTAAGTAAATAGAAGGATGAGTGACTCTGCAGAATAAATATTACAGACTGGGGCTGTCCATGATCTCTGGTACCAAACAAGGCCTTAGTCACAGAGCAGCTATAAATCCATTCAAGTGAAAACACTGGTAGCCTGGTCTCCCTGTGTGCTAATTACTGATGTCTACATGTATTCAGCTTTATTTCCTAGCCAAATTCAGTGACTAGTGACTAGCTGATGCATTTATCACCACTTTGAAATTTTCAGTATACTTGCATGAGTACAAATAGAAGCTTTATGCTTGCAGATGATCTTTTCTCACAAGGTTCTTTCACAGAGAAAAGACTTCCCCAGGGCCACATCCTGTTTCTAATAACAACTACGCCATACTAGGCAGTAAGCAGTTCTCCAGAAGGTCGCCACACATCCATCTGGTTAAAATGAACCTACAGCCTATGGGTTCTATTTCCTGCTGTAGAACCACCACTTACAGATGAGACTTTCTGAATTTCACATCTGGAACATGATCATGAAAACCAGCAAGACTGAAGAGAAGGGGAGGAGAGCTTCTCTTTCTTACATGTTAGAAGGTTCAAGTGTGGCAAAAGGTACTGAATTCAGGGACAGTTAAGTGTACATTAGACCTATTGCCTTGACTGTGATGTCCAGCAAACCCTCCTCTATGAAGGAAAATGTAATGTGTATGAGAGGTGGGGTACTGGGGAGAGCTGTTAGAAACACAAAATGGGCATGAGGAGTGGATTCTGATGCTGAGTTAGTTATTGCCCCTGGGATATTATACCTATGCTTGGCTATCCTTGTATGATGTACACTCCTGGCAAAAACACCCCCTTACCATTGAGTTTCCTCTTTGTGAGTTGTATTGCATTCTGTATTAGAGAGCTGATTAAAGAAAAAGAAATACCTTCATTTGCTCAAAGAAGACTACAGGTACCTAGAGAAATTGCACTTACAGCTATCCTACTAGTCTCTTTTCCCACATGCAGTTATGTTGGCCTAACTACAGCAGGGGCTAAAACCCAGGATAAGCAATGCCTGTCTCCAAGAGTAAGGTTGGAAAACAAACCAGATAATAGATTTGCATGGTCCTAAGCGACTTGATCTGAACATGTCAGAAACTTGCCAGCAGCCTGTGTTCATATGATAATTAATTGTGCCAGCTGAATTTTGAAAGGCAGATGTGTTTTTGTTGCAAATGTAGGCTTTTTACTGTAACATAACAGGTTTTGTAGGACAGGTTACTGGAATAAACACAGCTGTAAAATGGATTTTGCATACCAAGTCCATCTCTTGGTGAGTCTCATATTACTGAACAGCTCTAACCATGCAGCACTGAAAGCCATGTTATGGGCCCTAGCCTTTAGACTTACTTTGTTATATGTAAGGGCCAGAGAGGAGTGTGTTCTGCCCTATAGGATAATATAAGAGGAAAAGAACTATAGAGGGAAAAAGTACTGCTTCCATGGAGGAAATGAAACAGTGCTAATTCAGAGCACAGTTAGCCACTTTCTTAGGAGGTCCTGTGATGCCTGAAGAATCAGACCGGGCAGGAGTCAGTTTGTGTAAATCACCTAGGGCAGCACCTGCCTTGAAGTGATAAGGAGACATTGCTTGCTCATGCATGCTTCTGTATCTGTTTACAAGTGCACAGAACACCTCTTCTCATGGGAATGCTTATTTCCAAAGGAAGGAGATGTGATGAAGGTAATTTCTCTTTTCTTCACATACATGGACAACTAGAATGAATGTGGTAGAAAGGCCTTCCTCTGTCTGTTGAAAGAACTGAATCCAAACCCTAGGAGAGGCCATGTGGAAAATCTAGTCTCTCCAGTTGCAGAAGAGTGGCCCAGCTGGCATCGCAAGTAATAATTTGGAATGTGCCTTGGGACTGGGCAACTGGAACTCATTGAATATTTGCCATCACTGTGAAATCAGCAGCACCATATTGTTGCCTTACCTGGCACTGTATTAGCAGGAGCGGAGTTTCTTTTCTCCTGTCCTCTCCCTTTTCCATCTTTTCATCCTGGTCTTTTGCCAGCGGAGATTGAACCCATGCAGACTGAACCCTTGTCTCGCCCCGCAGCTTGTTCAGATTGCCTTCCAAGAGGCGCCGCTGGACCACACTATGTGGCTGCTGTCTCCACCACAAAGAAAGAGAAATCCCAGCTAAGTACGGACTTAAGGACTAGGAGATTTGCTAGCCATGGGAATCAGCGTGCAAACGCTTTGGCCCAGATCATCAACCCTATGTAGGATAGGGTTATCCCAAGAATTTTTTTTTAATCCCAAACGTTTGCTGCAGCCTCTGAGATGATGTTAAAGTGTTGGGCTGTCTGTGACAGGCAGGTCTCTGGGATGCAGTCGCTGGAGAAGAAGAACGTGTCTGATGCACGCTTTTCCCACGCACATCTGTCCCTTCAGCCAAACATACACTCAGCAGTCTCATACCTGTCCAGGTACTGCAATACAGTTCCTGGTGTGTATGTGCTGACACCCAACCAGGCACACTCACAACTTCAAAGGAGGCAGGGGTGGGTGGGTGATGTACATATGGGTAACAAGGCAGGACTCCAGAAACTTTAGGTGTACAGGCAATTATTTGGAGTGAAGCAGAAAGTTTCCCCTGCATGGCAAACTATACCCAGCTTCTAATGCTCTTTAGAGCCTGTCTCTGCTCCCTTCAATCAGGAGTGATGTTATTTTGATGCCCTTCCTACTAGGGGGATCATCTGTCAAGCCCCATGTTGTACACTGCCAGAAGGGAGCACCATCAGCCAGATCAATGGCTAAAGATTCTGCTTTATTCCTGTCCCATATAGCAATAGCAGTTTAATCTCCCTTTCTTCTAAGTAGAAGAAGGAAAGGTGCACCGAAAGGGAAGAAAATGGTGAAAACCTGCTTTCCCCCACAAGTGTATACATACATCACAGAAAAGTGTTGCTTTGGAAAGAAAGCCCCCTTCATCATCAGCTTGATGCTCAAGTTCTTGCCCAATGTTGATTCTGTTCCTCCAGTCCCTGCATAGCTACTGATTCAACAATGGGCAGCATAAATGAATTGGGTCTGTTGGAGGTAGCTTGGCCTGTTCTCCATGTGCTGGGCCCCATGGCCTTTCTGCAGGAGCTGACAATAGGGTTTTCAGTAACAGTTGCATATGTGGTGAAGGACAATGACTCTGAAGGAATTAATGCAAGGCAGCATGCTTATTCTTATCTTCCTCCAAAAAAAAATCATCTACTGTATGGTGCAGGAGATTGGTGTAACAGTTTATCAATGTGCAGGTCAAACATCTGAGGTAGAACAGACCTAGCAACTGGGATGGGATGGGCTGTCGTAATCCTACAGTGTGTGTATGCTTTTGACTAGCTTTATGGTTGATCAGAATGCTGAGGTCGGGGAAGTGTGTAAGTTACAATTTTAAGCTCACTGACTTATCAGTTTTGCCCAATGGATGGAGCAGCAGAGCTATTACAGGCTCTTTGGTCATACCTAGAGTGGCTCTGGGCAAGATCCTAAAGTCCCTTGAGCCTCTGTTTCCCCATTACTCAAGGGGCAAGAGTCAGATCATGCACATTCTGAATGAGAGACATTGCAGGAGTTGAAAAAGTGAAGCAAAAACATCCCTCTGTTCCTGTTGCCTAGTCCTTTCCCAGCCCACTGCACGAGCCCACAGCACAGCCAGCTGTTTGACTTTGCTCCCTAAATACTTTGAGTGTAGTGCCAGTTTGCATGCCAGCTAACATCTGGACCATGGGAAAAAGGCAGGGAGCTGACAGCAGGTCTCCAAATTCCCATCCTCCCTCCGCTGTCTCCTCTTAGTCTGGCATGCAAATGACCTTTTCCTCCCCCTGTGACCTTTCCCATAGAAAGATCAAGCCCTTTGCAGCTGCCACCTCTGTTCCTTTCTTGTCACTCAGGCTGGGAAAAGGCCAAGCACTCATGAGGAAGAGCTGAGCTCTGGGACTGTGAGGGCATCCAATCCAAGAGCAGGCTCCTGGGGCCCTCCCTGTCTTCTGTCTCACCAAATGAGATGGAGAGTTGGAGAATGTTGTCTGTCTTGGGCTGGTAGGAAACAACGAGAGGAAGAGGATGGTAAGAGGGGACCTGAAGAGACTTGTGGCAGGCAGTGACAAGGGAGACCCTCTCAGGACTCCTGAAAAGGTCAGAGCAGGTTCGCAGCACAACACATCATGTTTAGACTCTCCAGTGTGAAATGTCAAGGCATTGCTCTGACTTACTGAAGTGGTATGAGCTAGGGATCTTGACTTTGGGGACGGGATAAGTCAGCTCTTTGGATCTTCTTGTTACTTTCAGAATATTTTAGCTCATGCAGCTACTTTTTTCTTCCCCCTTTAAAAAAAGATCTCACACTTATGGTTGTAAGAAAGCAGAAAATATGAGTTATTCCCTGAAAGCTCTAATTCCCCGTTGCTGGGGATGTGATGGGCCCATAAAATCCATGAGACTGCTTAATGGATTGCATAAGCTGAATGCACAACCTGAATATGTGGAAAATGGTGGCAAAAAGTAACAGCCTGACTTTGACTGTGTAAGAAAACGTCATTTGTGAAATGCCACTCAGAATGATTCAGGACCTTGCTCTAATCTTAGGACACACAGGGCTGCTAAGGTGGGAGTCTCTGGTACCTAATTTACCAGTGGAGACATGTTTTGGGGAATTAACAAATTCTCCTCCCCTGCAAGTGCTATCGAACTCTGAGGTGTTTTGCACTCTCCCCAAGAACAACCTTTCCAGTACTTCTTACTGCCGTTTTGCTTTCCTGTCATCTCAGAGGGAGCAATATGAAACTAGGAAATAGATACAGGGTTTTGCATGGAGCTGGAGGACTGCCTGAGAGCACATTTTGTCCTCTTGCCTGTCAAGGACCCTCTGGCTTTTGTTATCAGTATAGTCCAAGAGAGTCTGCACTGCCTTTTATCATTCCTACAGGACATGGCAGGGGCCATGGCAGAACTGAGCACTGGACCAACAGGAGAGTTCAGTTCTATTTCTGGTCCTTGTACAGGCCTGTAGGGTGACCTTGGACAACCTTCCTCAGTTCCACATTCTCCCTGCAAAATGAGAACAAAAATATTAAGCTCTTTTATAAAGCCTACAGGCATCATGAGCTCAACAGACACAGTTGAGTTCTGATCTGCAAGCCCCCAAAGTGTCACAGTAATATCACGGTGGCCCATCAAGTCTCAGGGACTGCTTGATGCAGCACATTCTTCTTTGAAATCTGAGGTCTGGTTCTTCTCTTGCTCCAAGATAAACCAGAAATGGAGGTACCAGAGCTACCACATTCACCCCGGGTATTGCATGATGTGCGTGAACTTGCTCAAGTGCCATACTTTATTTTGTGCCTTCTGACACCAGTGCAAAATTTCTATGGCAAAAGAAAAGTTATACTTCATTCACTGTTCCCTAGCTCCATGATAAAAAGATTTCAGTCATTCTGTTATGGAACGTGCATGACATACACTGTGATTTTGAGTGACCAAACACTGTCTACATATGAGGAACTCTCGTACCTAAAAAAACATTAAATTCATCAGGATAACTGTTCATAACAAAAGATTCTGACAAAGCCTGTCTTAGACCACTCGAGAATCAGTCTTAATACTGCCAGCATCTTAAGGCCAAGACTATAATCTGTAACGTTCAGGAGTTGCTGTACAAAGAGGCCTCAAAATGTACAAAGGCCTTTGGCTGGCACTACAGTTTCATTTTGGGGCATGGTGTGATAAGAGTCGATACCAAAGCAAAGCAGGTAGTATTATTTCTCTCTACCTTTGTGGCTGGGCTCAGAAAGCTCACAAAGACCAAAAAGTTGCCCTACCTGCTGAAAACTGCACAACTACAAGCCTTGGGGTATGTCTGGATATCCACTCCCCAAGCTGAACTTTTCACTGCATGACATGAAGGGTCGGTGCTGGTCTGTCTGCTAGCCTGGATGGACTCTTTCAGACTCAGGTTTGGTCTGACCTGCTTCCCTGTGGGGCAGAGATCTCTGAAGAGGTCTGCTCCTTGCTAAAGGGCCATTTTTACAACTTCCCTGTTAGACTTCAGACAATGACTGCGCTCTGCTCTGCAGGGACACTGACCACTAGTCTCTGCTGAAAGTTGTGTGTGCTGTTGTAAACGACTGGGAGACCACGGGGTGAAGTCTCAGCGTGACTTTGAGGAGCCACCCTTGTTCCTGCCTGACCGAGGAATATCCTCTATAGCTGGGACAGCTCTAGGAAGAGCGCGCTGGGAGCAGGAGGGCGTGCAGTCACAGAGCCTGTGGCACTGGCCCTAAGCTGTTCACAGCAGAACTGCTAACTTAAAAGGTTTCAGGAAGAAGCAAAGAGGGTGATTTCCATTCAGGCCCAAATGCCCAGGAAGCTGCCTGTCCTTCACATTTGTGCTGCAGCGCAAAGCAGCGCCTCACTGCAGGCAATGGTGAGGCCTGCAAAGGGAGCAAGTAAAGCAGAAGGGAAATGGCCTGAAACAGATACATGCACACAAGCAACCTTGTTGTTGTTGTTGTGATGATCTAAGGCTACAGAGGGAAGCGCTGCCTATAGGGAGGGGTAATGTCTTTCATGACACCCACCAACACAGCTGGAATAAATGGTTGAGCTTTCTGCCACAGAGGCTGCCCCTGCTCAGCCCCCCACCCCAGCTGACAGGCCCAGAGTGGTGCTGCAGCTTAAGATACATCTCTGCCCCCCTCACTGGCCAGCAGGATGCCTCTGAATTCCTTGTACTTTGGTTTATTTGGCCCGCTCTTATTAGAGCAGCAACACAGTGCAGATTGGGCAGAAGAGAGCCTGAGGCGGAGTCATCCCTTTTTGGAAAAAGGGTTTAAACCCCCACATCCTTGAACAATTATACTCCACAGTGGAGAGGAGAAGTTAGAGAGAAAAATTGCCAGAATGTGTGAGGAAGGGGGAGATGTGTGCAGTTAAATCAGCAAGACATCCCCTGGGAAATGGTTCCCTGTCTTGCCATACTTCCTTGGTGAAGTCTATCCTGACCACAGATTCTCCCCAGATTTCTGGAACAAATCCCCTCCCTGATGCCGCCTGCTCTATATTTCTACAGGAAGACACCCAAAGAGCTTGCTCCCATGCCTCTTCACCAAAGATGTCACCAATAGGTGCTGATCAGTACTGTTATTAGTGCTACACAGCTAGCAGTCCTGCCCTGTGCTTACCCTTCTAGAAACAAATAAATGAAAACCCAAATATTAGGGGAAAGGAGAATAACCAAAAAAGGTGACAAGGTCAAACATAAACCCCTCAAAATTTCAGGAACTATGCTTCCCTCCCTGCTCCTCCACGTTGAGTGCACAGAGGAGTGGGTCTGCTTTTGAGCTCGATCTTGCAGGAATGTGTGTGGGCTTTCAGAGAAGTACCACATGGAAACATACATGTCAGATGAATGTATGGGTGAGTGGAAAGTTGGATTCTTCCACTCCGTGTCTGCCTGTCTCTGTGCTTGGCCCCTGTGAGGATGCATAGGAAAACATGCAAAAAATGGGGGAGTCGTTCTTTGCCTTCCCCCAGACCTAAATGATGCTGAGGAGCAGTTTTGTCTTTGCTGGGCCTGTTATTCTTTGCCAAATATGGGGACAGTTCCCAGTGATGCTGGGAGGAGGGGCTGTTAGGATGTGGACCAACTCCCAAATGGGGTCCCTTTGGACTCACCAGATCCTTGGAGGTACCAAGCCTCATCAAACCGTCCAGGGGCAGCAGGTCAGCAGAGTCCTTGTGCACAAACTGTGTGGCCTGTTTAAGGCGCCTTTTCTGTTGCAGAATAGCTTTGTTCCTCAGCTCCAGCTCACACTCCTGTGGCTCCAGGACTGGAGTACCCTCACTCTCTTTTTCCTCTCTTTCTCCTTGCCCCAGTGGCAGAGAGCAGCTCTTCTGTGTGCTCATGGTGATGGCTCAAACAGAACAGGTCCTTCTTGAGATAATGGGGTGTTTCCTGCACTTATCTCCTGATGCTTGTCCTCCTGAGGGTGACTCAGTCTCCGAGCTCCTTTCCCTTTCCCACAGCGCTCCTTCTCTCCCTTTCTCTGCCTTTCTCCCTGCTCTCTTAGTTGTAACTCACCTGTCTCTAAAGTGTCTCTGTCTTTTTCTACCTCTGTTCTCTTCAGTATCCCAGCTTCCCTCTCTCCCCACCTCTTCCCCTCCCTCTCTTCTCCTGCCCTGACTGCAGCTCTGCCTCTTCCAGCTGGTAGGTCCCTGTCGTAACAGAAAAAGCCCCACGTCAGAAACCAATTTCCATAAATTACAGCAGTGCCAGCAAGATGCTCCGGCTGGAAAAATCCAGCAGCAGAAGGATGGCCCTGCTGCTGGGGGCTGGACCTATCTCACTCCGGCTGTGTGTGTGTGTGTGTGTGTGTGTGTGTGCGTGCGTGCATGCGCGCGCGCATGCACACACACACACACACACACACACCCCACCCTGTCCCCCACTGATACACTGAAGAGATAATAAATCTCACTATTGCAGGCTGGTGTGGCTCAGTATCTCTGCTGGGGGCTTTGATGCATCTTGGTAAGACTGTAAATATTGGCAAGAACATGATTCTGTCTAGGAGATGATGCAGTGCTTTGGTAAATGGGAGAGCACATTTACTTCAAGACTCCTGGCAGGCATGCCCAGTCTTGTTTCTGTGGAGAGTGGTACACATTTGGGATAGGCTGCACTGAAAGATAGTACTGCATAGCTTGAATGAACTGCTGAAGGCCTGCTTTTTGTTTCTGACCAGTGCAAATGCACTGGGACTGACTCTGCTCTTACACTCTAAAGTAATTCCCCTGAAGTTGCACAAGCTTAAAATCACTGTTTGGCTTGTAGATATCAGTGGACTTGACTCCAATTTACACTGAAAATATTCTGAAATTGTTGCAGCATGGGATATCTGCTCTGGTCTAGCTCTGCGGAAAGGGGACATGGCAGAGCGTACTTTTTTCAACTTTCTGCCTCCACAGTGCCCTTTTGCCCTGCTTGAAACCTTAGCTGAAGCTTTGTTTTGATCCCCTTTCATTGCTGAGTGCATTGCCCTGGAAGGCACCAATTCTGATGTCATGTACAGAGGAGGATACTGAGTTTTAATCAACTGTGCAGCTAAGGATAACATAACCTTTACATGAATCACAGCTGGCTTTAGCAAACTGGGGGTGAAATCACTTTGGTGTACACACATAGAAGGAATAGCAGCAACAGGATATGAAAGTTACAGCAAAAGGAGGCTTTCTATTGCTCCATATTTATTATATTTTTTCCAGCTTAGAAATATGGAACATTCCAACAATACTGATATAACTTACTTCCTGTGTTCCAAACTGTATATAAAAATATAACAATGAATTTACAATGCTAGGAAGTAAACCAAATAGTCCATGTGCAGAGATGGATCCAGTCAGCCCCTCCGAGACCTCACTGGGGTAGCAGAAACTGCAAAATGAGTTAATTGGCTTCAGTGCAAAGCAAAATGAATTAGATTCCTTTTATGCTCTGCTAATCATCACAAAGTTAGCATTGCTGTTGGGAGTTGATCCTCAAACACTGTAGGGGAGGCTGCTCAATTTTAGAGTAATTTTAAAATTTGAACTGGTTAATCTTTTTTCCCCTGTATGCTAACTGCTTTACAGAAGGTATCATGGTTCCCACAGCACCCAACTTGTGCAGAGCTAGATTTGACAGGAACAGGGCGGGGTAGAAATAGTTTCCAGCTGCTTAACATGGCCAGACCCCCCAACATCGTAATGCAGGCAGAGTCCCATCACATTCAGCAGAGTTGTTCTTCATCTGCTCTTGTGTCTCTGCAAACAGAATTAAGCAGGGCTGGTTAAGGAAAGGGTATTCCCAGGGAAGCCACGTTCCCCTAGTGGTGTTTTCTTGCTCCTAGGTTGTTCTGACTCCTGGTTTATACACACTTTTGACTTCTTGCAGCCTCACTGAGCACCCCCTCAGCCCTGTTCTCAAGGTCTTTAGCCCCCCCCCCATAAACCAGCACTGGATCATGCACCTCTACTCTCACACAGGGCCAAGCTGCTTCCCCTTGTGCTCCCTGTAAATACCTCAGCATGCCAGCCCTGACAAGCCAGCTCTGCTTCTGCTGGCAGCAATGACAGGGCGAATTTTCTTAGAACATATCTTAATAAAGTAGAATGGATTGTCTTGGGACCATATCTCCTACAGTCCCTGCTCTGAAACCTCTGGGCAAAGTTACACAATTTCTGACAAGATCCTCTCCATACCTTGGGTGTGTGGGGAGGCATGAAGAGGAGAAAGAGCACATAGTTCCTCCTGCAGCCTGCCACTTGCTGCAGGTAGGAGACCCTCCCCCCTCCCTTTATCTATTGCTCTTGCTCTGAACTTTGGCAAAGCCCAGTCAAAACTGGCTTGGATTGCAGCTATTCTGGAGCGATTGTCTGAGCACTTCTGCTTTAGAGTCTGACCAGCTAATCTAGTCCCCTAATTCAAAAACCATTTCTCTTCCAATGTGTGACAGGGGAGAATTCTTCAAATGTTTTTAAGGCTTTCTCTCCTCCTTCATCCCTTCTGCTCCCAAGCACAGGTCACTTGACTCTTTATATCCTGTTATATATTAGTTCCCAGTTCTGGTTTAAAAAAAAAAAAAAAAAAAGGGCATTTTGATGGAGGTGGAGCCAGCTAAGATAACATCTTCTCCTTTAAAAAGCATTCTGGGTTCGAGGTCACTGTCTTTTTCTGTTTAGCGATTACTTTCTCAGTCATGTTCTTCTTAAACAGAGCCCATTTATTAAGTAGATTATCAGCTTTCAGCTTTTTTTTTTCAGTTTGGCTGCTTCTAAAGGTTTTCTAAGGGAGAGCCAGACTGCTGTGTAGTGAATTTAAGCTTACTCCCAGTTGCTATGTCTTTCCCAGTCATCTTTACCAGGCTCTGGAAAACAGCACATGGATCACCAACAGTCTATGTTAGAAGAACAAGTTAAAACTGGCTTAGATAAAAACATTCATTCACAATTCCATCATACTGAGAAATGATTTTCCTTCTCTGATCCAGTCACATACATACCTCAGTATTCTCATCCTTCATACAGAAAGTCTCATGGGATGTATAATAGTGTCACATAACAATGCATTCAAATTATGGAAGAACCATTCCATTTCCATCACACAGGCACTGACATGAAGCTGGACTTAGCCTATGTTCACCTTGGTTATGCTTCATCTGGGATACGTACAGAAAGTAAAAGCCTTACTCCTGCCAGCAGCTTCGCATTTTAGTTCAAGCTATTATAGTCAGTGAGATCTCTGGGCCAAAGATTCCAGCTTCTAACCAAGAAACCACAGCACTGTATCTGTATATGTGGCTGTTGGTCCCTGATATTGATCTTCTCCATGTCTGAGAAATGCTGCTGAATTCAGACCTAGTGCCCATATTTCTGAGAAAAGGCACTGAAAAACAGCTTCTTCCAGTAGCCACATGAAAATTCAATTTGCCCAGCTAAGAAACAGGAGGGGGTCAGTATACCATCCAGCTATTTCTTCTCTCAACCTTTATTGAAGAAATGCATGAGCACTACCTGGGGTAGTGAATCCCAGAATGGTTGAGGTTAGAAGGGACCTCTGGAGATCATCTATCCAAACCTCCCTGCTCATGCAGGGTCCTCTAGAGCATATTGCACAGGATCGCGTCCAGGCAAGTTTTGAATATCTCCAAGGATGGAGACTCCACCACCTCTCTGGGCAGCCTGTTCCTGTGCTCACTCACCCTCACAGTCAAGAAGTTTTTCCTCATGTTCAGATGGAACTTCCTGTGGTTCACTTTGTGCCCGTCGCCTCTTGTCCTGTTGCTGGGCACCACAGAGAAGAGTCCAGCGCCATCCTCTTGCCACCTTCCCTTCAGATATTTGTATGCATTGATCAGATCCCCCCTCAGTCTTCTCTTCTCCAGGCTGAACAGGCCCAGCTCTTGCAGTCTTTCTTCCTAGGAGAGGTGCTCCAGCCCTCTAATCATCTTGGTAGCCCTCCGCTGGACTCTCTCCAGGAGTGCCATGTCTCTCTTGTCCTGGGGAGCCCAGAACTGGACACAGTACTCCAGGTGAGGCCTCACCAGGGCTGAGGAGAGGCGCAGGATCACCTCCCTCGACCTGCTGGCAACACTCTGCCTAATGCACCCCAGCATACCATGGGCCTTCTTGGCCACAAGGGCACACTGCTGGCTCATGTTTAACTTGTTGTCCACCAGCACTCCCAGGTCCTTCTCGGCAGAGCCACTTTGCAGCAGGTCAACCCCCAGCCTGTCCTGGTGCATGGGATTATTCCTGCCTAGGTGCAGGACCTTGCACTTGCCTTCGTTGAACTTCATGAGGTTCCTCTCCGCCCAGCTCCCCAGCCTGTCCAGGTCCCTCTGAATGGCAGCACAGTCTTCTGGGGTGTTAGCCTCTCCTCCCAGCTTAGTATCATCAGCAAACTTGCTGAGGGTGCTCTCTGGCCCTTCCTCCAGGTCATTGATGAATATATTGAACAAGACTGGGCCCAG